ACACACACACACACACACACACACACACACACAAACACACACATATACATACACGAATGTTGATCTATAGGGTCGGAATACCATGAGAATTAGCACAATTTTAGTGCCCCCTCACCCCCTCCTCACTCCCACCTAACCCCGCCCCGTTACCCCCCACCCCACGCCTCAAAAAGAAATATCTCCACCCTGAGTCCAATTAGGCTAATCAGCAAACTCGACTTCATTTTACTCCTAAGTTAAATCAGAATACGTTTCCTAAGTCACCTGCTCACTCAAGTAAGACAATTTAACTTCATCCTATCTACTAACAAAAGTTACCCCCCCCCCCCTTTCATCCTCCTTAAAAGCTTAAGTTAACTTGATCCTCCTTAATAAAATATGTAAACTTCATTCTCCCTTATAACATAAGTAAACGTAATCCTCCCTAGTAACATATGTGAACTTCATCGTCCCTAGTAACATAAATTAATGTTATCCTCCCTAGTAGCACATGTTAACTCCAGCCACCCTAGTTATATGTGTTAACTTCATCCTTCTGAGTAACATAAGTTAAGTTCATCCTCCCTAGTTTCATAATAATTATGTTAACTTCATTCTCCCTGGTAACATAAGTTAACTTCATCCTTCTTAATTACATAAGTTATTTTCATTCTCCACAATAGCATATAAAGTAAGTTATCTCTCTTCTCCCTGATAACATAAGTTAACTCCCCCTCTCTTAGAACAAAAGGTAACTCACCTTCCCTAATAAAACAAGTTATCTCGCTTTTCTCTGACAACAAAAGTTAAGTCCCCCTCCCTTATAACTAGAGTTATCCCCCAGTACAGTCAGTCAGCTGCCAGACCTTTGCAACAAGTAGAAATGTATAGTCAATCGACCACTAAGTATAGTCAGTATGACACCAAGTTTTGAGAAAAATCAATAATATAATCGAGTAAACATTTAATATTTCATAGAAGAAGACAAAACAAGTCAGGAGTAGCAGTTGGTAAAACACCAAAGAGAAATCGAGAAATGGAAACAGCTAGATCTAACTTCTTGAGGAAACGTCATTAAATTTGCTCTCTAGTTTATCACTTATTAGATTCTGCTGTGTTTCTGTCGCTCATTCTATGTTCTAGATAGAAAACTGCAAACTTTGCACCCGTTAACTGTATAGTAGAAGACTCATTCTTGTCTTGGGAAAAAAAACGAGATGATAATTTTTATCCTCTATACAATTAATATATATAAGGAATGATTGCCTATCTCTATCCAACCATTTTGCTATTTAATTATAATTCATTCATTCATTCATTCATTCATTCATTCATTCATTCATTCATTCATTCATTCATTCATTTATTCATTCATACATTCATTCATTCATTCACCAACCTACCCATCTGACCATTCTTCAATTCATAATTTATCCAGACAGTTTGTCGATTACTCATCCACGCATTGATTGATTCCAGATGCCTATATTTACTCTCACTCTGTAGCTGTTCGACTCACTTCGGTTCAGTTTGTTGACAGTTTTGTTTACAGAAACTCCGTGTTGTGTGCGTGTGTGTGTATGTGTGTGTGTGCGTGGGTGTGTGTTTGTGCCTGTGTGCGCTTTTATCATTTCATTGAAGTGTGTTATTACTTGTTCACTTTCGTCTGTCTGCGTTTAAAGAAAATTAGCTCATTTATTAATTTGCCAGTGCACACGTAACTTAATAAGGCACGCTTGTAAGCTAGCGTCCAAACTATTTTTTTTTTGTTTCCAAAATTCTTGATCCAGTAATTTAACAAATTCTTTACGTGGGTCCTACAAGAAACCCCGCCCTTAGGGTGCACACAAAAGATCACTTAGGTAAACGGTTCACAATAATATAACCTACGAGTTGCTCATGTTCATACAGCAACAAACCCTGCCCCCACATTTCAGGGTAAACTTGTAGATTTCCCCTTAAGATCGTCCAGACATCTCGTCAGTCTAAATAAAATACTGGTCTGTTTGTTGGACCTTGTTTCAATGGCGTGCGTTAAAGTGTGGTGTTAACGAAAAGAAGTCTTTCTTTATGCTTTAGACATATGCAGTAAATCCCAAATCTTTTTTTTTACCCGCGTTAGACTAAGATCAAAGAAAATGTATCGGAAAAAGAGTTTGCAGTGATCTTCATTATTTGTCTTCTAAATTATGTTGGTTGTCCAACTGTAGACCTGCATGCAAGGACATGAAAAGACTATACAGGGCGATTTGTTTTTATCTTGTTTTACCACGGACAAACGAAGGTGAACAAATGTCAACTTCTCTGTTCCTGACAAGCTTCATGATGCATCCTGTTCTACCTCAAGATTCTTTATACATTTTAACTAAATTCGGATTATTGGTTAGACGCGTTGTTGGCAGCCACGGTCGCTTGAAATCCAAAACTGTGATACTAATCAATACCCAGTGCCCATTGGAGGATTGGTCCCCTTACGCAATCAGATCGCCTGACTCGCGACCTTGGGAACAAACGCGTTTGTTTTTTAGGGGGGTCACCGTCGGCTCAGTTCGGTTTGTGCCACGATGGTCGTTTTTCGCCCTCAGTCTGGCTTGCCCCACTTACCAAACCTAACCAAACCGAACAGATCGTGCTAATGTGCTCTGGGTA